CTTGATCATGACCCCACCCCCGACCACCAAAACATCATCTCTCAGACCATCCACAATCTCATCACTTCAGGTGGCCCACAGCCTCCAAGCTCATCGTTCCCCAACCCCGCACTGCCCATTTCTATCTCCTTTCCAAAATCCACAAACCTGACTACCCTGGTTGACATCGAATCAGAGATAGTAGGAACTGCAGATGCTGGAGAATCCGAGACAACAAGGTGCAGGGCTGGATGAACACAGCAGGCCAAGCAGCATCATAGGAGCAGAGAGGCTGACGTTTCGGGCCTAGACCCTTCATCAGAAAAGGGGGAGGGGAAGGGGGTTTTTGGCCCATTGTCTCCGCCTGCTCCTGCCCCACTGAACTTATCTCCACTTATCTCAACTCCATTTTCTCCCCCTTGGTCCAGGAACTCCCCACCCACATCCGTGACACCACCCACGCCCTCCACCTCCTCCAAAACTTCCGATTCCCTGGTCCCCAACACCTCATCTTCACCATGGACGTCCAGCCCTATATACTTGCATTCCCCATGCAGATGGCCTAAAGGACCTCCGCTTCTTTCTGACCCACAGGCCTGACCAGTCCCCCTCCACTGACAGCCTTGTCCGCTTAGCTGAACTTGTCCTCACTCTTAACAACTTCTCCTTCAATTCCTCCCACTTCCTACAGACAAAGTGGGTGGCCATGGGTACCCGCATGGGCCCAAGCTATGCCTGCCTCTTTGTAGGATACGTGGAACAATCCCTCTTCCGAAGCTACACTGGCCCTGTACCCCACCTCTTCCTCTGTTATATTGATGACTGTATCGCTGCTGCCTTGTACTCCCACGAGAAGCTCGAACAGATCATCCACTTCACCAACATCTTCCACCCCAACCTTAAGTTTACCTGGACCATCTCTGATACCTCTCTCTCCTTCCTGGACCTCTCTGTTTCCATCTCTGGAAACCACCTGGAAACCGATATCCATTTCAAGCCTACCGACTCCCACAGCTACGTAGAATGCACCTCCTTTCACCCACCTTCCTGCAAAAATTCCATCCCCTTTTCCCAATTCCATCGCCTCCGCCACATCTGCTCCCAAGATGAGGCATTCCACTCCTGGACATCCCAGATGTCTTCGTTTTTCAAGGGCCGCAAATTCCCCTCCACAGTGGTCGAAAACCCCGTCGACCGGATCTCCCGTATTTCCCACAACTCATCCCTCACACCCCCTCCCCACAATAACAACAAAAATAGAACCCCCTTTTCCTCACGTACCACACCACGAACCTCCGGATCTAACGCATCATCCTCTGGCACTTCCGCCACCTGCAATCTGACCCCACTACCAAAGACATTTTTCCCTCCCCACCCTTATCTGCCTTCCGGAGGGACCACTCTGTCCGTGACTCCCTTGTCCGCTCCAGACTCCCCACCAGCCCCACCACCCCCAGTACTTTTCCCTGCAACCGCAGGAAGTGCTACACATGCCCCTACACATTCCAGGCCCCAAGAAAACCTTCCACATCAAACAGATGTTCACCTGCACATCTGCTAATGTGTTATATTGTATCCGCTGTTCCTGATGTGGCCTCCTCTACATTGGGGAAACCAAGCGGGGGCTCGGAGACCGCTTTGTGGAACACCTACACTCAGTTCGCGATGAACGACTGCCCCTCCCAGTCGCGAGCCACTTCAACTCCCCCTCCCACTCCTTGGACGACATGTCCATCCTGGGCCTCCTCCAGTGCCACAACGATGCCACCCGAAGGCTGCAGGAACAACACCTCATATTTTGCTTGGGAACCCTGCAGCCCAATGGTATCAATTTGGACTTCAGAAGGTTCAAAATCTCCCCGCCCTCAAGTGCATCCCAAAACCAGCCCAGCTTGTCCCCGCCTCCCTAACCTGTCCGTCCTTTCTCCCACCTATCCACTCCTCCCACCTCAAACCCCACCCCCACCTCCTACGTACCAGCCTCATCCCCGTCTCCTTGACCTGTCCGTCTCCTCTCCACTTATCTGCTCCTTTATCCATCTTCCATCCGCCTCGGCCTCGCTCTTTCTATTTATTCCAGAATCCCCCTCCCCTCCCCGATTTCTGAAGAAGGGTCCAGACCCGAAATGTCAGCTTTCCTGCTCCTCTGATGCTGCTTGGCCTGCTGTGTTGATCCAGCTCTATACCTTGTTATCTCAGATTCTCCAGCATCGGCAGTTCCTACTATATCTGTAGACTGCAATGTTAGGGAAAGAAATTCTGCAGACATATTCTGCACTGTGAAGAATCTCGATTAGACATTACTGAACACCAGACACGACAAAAGAGCATAATTTCCAACCCCAAAAGATCATATTGCAGATCACTATTTCCCGCCCCTAATGTGTAACTGCCCTCCTCCTAAAACTATTAAATGTTACAAGGCAACATATTATATTCTAGGAACAAAAACAAAGTTGCTGGAAAAGCTCAGCAAGTCTGGCAGCATCTGTGAAGGAAAAAACAGAGTTAATGTTTGGGGTCCAGTGACCCTTACTCAGAAGTGATGGCAGCTGGGAAAACGTCAGTTCATATGCCGAAAATAAGGAGGTGGGTGGGGTAGAGAATAGGGCCCAGAGAGAGAGAAAGAATTTGGACAGACAAAGGAGTTGATAATGATCAGGCTGGGAGGGTGAACAGTTGTTAATAAGGACTGTTTTTGACTAACAACAGTGGGTGTGTAATGGCAGGCTGTGTGGTAACAAGGACTGGTGTGTGGGGTGGGGGCTGGGACATGGGAGACTTTAGGCCCTAAAATTATTGAACTCAATATTGATTCCGGAGGGCTGTAGGGTCCCCAAGTGGAAAATGAGTTATTTTTCCTCCAGCTTGCGTTGGGTTTCGCTGGAACACTGCAGCAAGCCAAAGAGAGAGATGTTGGCCAGGGAGCAGGATGGTGCGTTAAAGTGGCAGGCAACAGGTAGTTCAGGGTCTTTTCTGCGAGCAGAACATAGATGTTCTACAAAGCAGTCGCCAAGTCTACACTTCGTTTCCCTAATGTAGAGGAGACCACGTTGTGAGCAGCGAATGCAGTAGACCAGATTCTGGGAAGTGCAGGTGAAGTCTTGCTTCACCTGGAAGGTATGTTTGTGTCCTTGGATACTGGGGAGGGAGGAGGTAAATGGCCAGGTGTTGCACCTTCACCAGTTACAGGGGAAGATGCCCTAGGGCTGTGGGGAGGTGTTGGGGGTGAAGGAATTGTGGACCAGAGTGTCACAGAGGGAATGGTCCCTGCAGAAGGCAGACAAGGGAGGGGAGGGGAAAATATGTCTGGTGGTGGCATCTCGCTGAAGGTGGCGGAAATGGCATTTGATGATCTTCTGGATGTGGATGCTGGTGGGATGGTCGGTGAGGATAAGGGGAACCCTATTGCTGTTGCGGGAGAGAAGAGAAGGGGTGAGGGCAGGAAGTGCGGGAGATGGGTCGGACCTGGTTGAGGGCCCTGTCGACAACAGAGCTGGGGAATCCTCAGTTGAGGAAGAAGGTGGACATGTCGGAGGCTCCCTTGTCGAAGTTGGCCTCATCTGAACACATGCGATGGAGACGGAGGAACTGAGAGAATGGGATGGAGTCTTTACAGGAAGTGGGATGTGAGGATGTATAGTCCAGGTAGCTGTGGGAGTCTGTGGATTTGTAATGGATATTATTGGCCAGTCTATCCCCAGAAATGAAAACAGAAACGTTGAAGAACAGAAGGGAGGGGTCAGAGATAGACCAGGTGAAAGTGTGGGCAGGGCGGAACTTGGAAGCAAAATATTTGAAGTTTTCCAATTCCAGATGAGAGAGAGAAGCAGTACTGGTGATATCATTGATACATTGGAGAAAGCTTTGTGGGTGGGGGCGAGAATAGGACTGGAAAAAGGAATGTTCCACGTACCCCATGAAGAGAC